ATTTAGCAACTTACTGGTTTTCTCCACTCAGGATGAAGAATGAACATAACAAAATGCCAGCACCACAAAAGTCTTCCAAACTCATGTCCGCACCTCACGTTTCCAACCGGGATATCGAAAACCAGGATCCAGGAAACTCAGAGATGGGCAGGAAGGCACCTGTGCGACCAGGTGGAAGTAGGCTTCCGGTGCTTGCAAAGTCCCTTCATCTTCAGGCTCCCTCTGACTTCAGCCAATCTCACTGCAGATGGGAGGAGAAACCTCTGGCTGTAAGTGCCGTCTTCCCTTCCTGTAAATGTAAATATGTTTTTATTTATATATCAGATGATTCTTATGTTCTTAAAACTTTTATAATTTTCCTCCAGGGGAAAGCTAAGAAGAAAAAGCCATGCACCAGGCCCATACCTTTCAACCTATCTCAACCTAAGAGTTCAAGAACGGCCACTGAAAATCAACAGCCTGTAACTGTCTCACAGTTAAGGAGTGGCACTCGTGCTATCAGACCTGACAACACTATGTGCAATTCTCGCCTAATAACCCAAAACATAATTGGAAAACCTCTTAAAAATCCAGCTTTGTTAAACAGCAAGGCGGACTCTACCACAGGTACAGGGAAGTCCAATGGAAAGGCTACACAAAATACATCCGAGCTCTCAGGAGAGTCTGGTCCTTCCCAGACATTTAAGACTTCAGCCACTTTTTCCAACCATCTTTCATCCTTTCCTAATAATGCAATGCATCCAAACAGAGCTACTTCTTCTGCACAGCATGCTCTTAGTGCAGAGGCCTGTTTGGATAACATGAACCTGCTTAGTCTCAAAGATCCAACCAAGACGTCCCAAAACATGCAGCTGACCAGGCAGGGCAATTTTTCCACAAGCTCAACCGGTAAGTTAAGCGTGTTGTTGCCTTGTCATTGCATTTGTATATGGACTCAGATGGCAGTTTATTAGGTACACCCAGCTGAAACTTATGCAGTCTAATGCCCAATGCAGTAAAGTCTACCTTCAGGAAGGTTAATAATGTTCATTTTTGTTAAAACTGTTTTAGAGAGCTGTTGATTTAACTGTATGGTCATTTTGAAAGATGTCGTTTGTGTTGCTGTTGAATTCTACTGCGTCTACGGCCGGTGCTTCTGTGCAATTCATATCAATGAGGGAAGGCTAAAAACCAGAAACATCTCTCTGTAAAATGCAATATAATTCAACAGCACCTCAAAATACAGTTTCCGTCATACAGTTGAATCAACACCTGTCAAACAGTTTCAACAAAAACGAATTAACCTTAATTACATGGGATTTATTACATGGCTGCTTTTGGTTGTGTCTTTGTCCATTTTTAATACTGCTGTAACAACTTTCTCCATGGAGATGAATGTATCTCACCTGTACAACAATAACACACAATTATAGTTTATTATTAATTAGATTAATTAGAATCAATAGGGATTTTGATGATTGCTTGCTCTCTTTTTTTAGTTGTTAACTACATCTCAGTTATTTCAGCAGTCATAAGTACAGTACTTATCTTGTATTTCAGACAAGGGAGAGAATTTCCAGCATGACCATGCAGCTTTGCTCGGTATCCTCCGGAATGAGGGGATCAGTGCCTCAGGTCTGGGATCTGCAACTCCACAGTTTAACTATCTGGTGGGTTGGTTGGTTGTTATTGAGGTGTGTTAAACCATTTTAATGTTGTAGATATTTAATAACCATCTGTGTATTTGCTGGTGATTCTGTTGTTTGCAGCCCCAGCGAGTGTCTGTCATGAAGAGTCGACAAAAAGCTGGACCCACTACAGGTGATCACGAGTCGAAATATTTACTTGAATATACAGCATGTGATTGAAGGAAAAATAAATATACATGCATACATACATGTATGTTGTTGTTAGAGTGAGACACAACTGTGATGCAACATCTAGGTATATTTATGTATTTGTAATGTTGGCCTGCAAACTAATTGTTTGATTGAAGGGATAGTTGGACATTTTGGGAAATGGTTTTATTGACTTTATAGCACTGAATGAGATGCTAGCCTCGCCAAAAGTAACAAAAATTGTGAAAGTGTAAAAACAACACGTCGTATTTTTATTGGGGGTTAAGTAATGGACAGTGTCTTGGCCAGGTGCGTTATCTTACCATAACCTTACTTACAGTGATGACAAGATACGAAGAAGTTACTGCGCTCAGCCCATGGATTTACTAGCACTGGCTACCAGATGCAAAGATGGCGCCCAATCACTTGAATGGGAATTATTTGCCAAAAATGTTTTCCAGCTACCGGTTTGGTTTTGCATTGTGCGGCCCACTGCACATTTGCATTCATGTTTCTAACTATATAACCTCTATGGTTTTGAAAAATCTTAATACAAAGAATTCAAAGTGACCTGTCAACAGTATTACAGACATATCTTTTTATAATGGAGGTCAATTTGAAAATACTGTATTTTCGTTGCAGTGGCCACTAGGATATAGTGGTACAAGGCTGAGTGCTGGCGTCCTTTGCAGCTCTCTTAACACATCCATGGCCCAGCCAAGAAATCGTCCAGCACATAACACTGCGTAACACTGCAAAGATTATATAACTCTTTCCACAAACAAGATATAACATATTAATTAGTGAGCTTTAGAGGAGCTAGTAGGCAGGTTTTGTTACCTTTGGACGGAGCCAGGCTAGTTGTTTCACCGTTTCTGGTTTTTAATCTAAGCTAAGCTACCTGGCAGCTAAAACATGAGAATGATATCTACATTATCATCTATCTCTCAGCAAGAAAACAAATAAATATTTCTTAAATTGCTTAACTATTGCTTTAAGTGAGTTATTTCTGTTACACTATCAACAACTGAATACAGATGCAAGTCAAATATGATGTCTTGTGACAACAAGAAATTAAGAGAAGCAAGCTAACTTTATACACAACCTTGTTGTGTATAAAGTTAAATTACAAACATATTAATTTGTCTTTGCATGTTGTTGAGTCTATGCTCCATTCTTATAGGATTAATGAAGTCGGTGCAGTTCTCCCCAGACCAAGCTGCGCTGCAAAGTATCTTGCAGAACGAGGGAGTGAAGTGTGGGGGGCCTGTGGGTGCCACACCCCGAAACGCTGTCTGTCCATCAGGCAGAGAGACTTCCATCTACAAAGTATGTGTACATTAAACATGTTTTCCCTTCAGCTCTCCTACGTTTTTGTACCTAATGTAGCTTATTACATTGCTTTTAAAACAGTTACATTCACTGTGTTTCCATTTTCAGGCTCAGAGAGTGCCTGTTAGAAAGAATCGTGCAGAGGCGACAGGAGGATCAGCAGGTAGGATGCAGAATCGTTGTTCTCATCTTATAAAAACCTAATTCATCCTTATCTGTCCTTTTACCCTGATGTAACGCGGCTGTTTTATCCTTAGCAGTAGCACTCAAAGAGACTCCGCAGAAGAAATGGACTCCACAGAGAGTCCCTAACACCAGGCATAAGCCCATGTCTGCTATGGTCAGTATGCATGTATTGTATGTTCACACTCTGTCTCTTTGGTACATAGTGTTTCTCACAGTCACTCCCTCATCTCATGATGCTGCTGTTTTTCAGAAATGGCATCTGCAGACACAACAGTCACCGTACAGCAGCAGTCCTGGGCTGCAGAGCTGCAAAACCAGCCTTCAGCCGCGCCAGGAGGTAAGAGCATGTCTAGAGAGCTATTACACAAATCTGTTCTGGAAAGTGCTTTACAACCACATGATCTGTATGTATAGATTCAATTTCAGGCATAGTCAAAGTAGCCGGGGTGTAAAAAGTACTTGAAGGGTCTTTAATAAATTCAAGGTATCTATAACAAAGGCTTGATCATTTTTATATTTTCAGTCTAGCGATACTAAATGGATGCAATGTTTCAGAAACATACATAAGTAATGGTCCTCCCTGTAGAATCTGTTGGTGGGAGAGAGAACTGTTTAAACATCTACAACAGTATTGGCTAATAGCTTTTGTCAAAATAGCATTTCACTCTTAAAACAACCCCACCAAGGTTTTGATTGCTAAAGGTGTTAATTTCGTATCAGTCAGCATTTGAAGAGAAGATTGCAAATTTTAAAGGTTGGTGATGATGCTGCACCACAGTCGCATTAAAAGATGCATTTTAATATAAAATAACTAAAATACCCCCCAGACGAAAAGTATGTATAACATGATAGTTTTGATCCCAAGCAGTTTATTACTACCGTCGCAGCGTATATTGTTAACTGGAAATAGACGTACTCTGCTCTGTATCATAATTTATGTGACTTTCTTGTTTGTTAGCAGGAGGTTGTCCAGAGATTATTTGATGATCAAGAAGACGAGCAGAGAACCAATGTCAAAGATCCAGAGACACAAGCAGAGCTGCTCCCAGTTCAAGGCACAACTGTAAGGACTGAACTGAAGTTCAAACCTTACATACAGAGGTCCATGTTGAATTAAGCTGTTGTTATTTATTTATTATAAAATCACTGCATGCTGTTTGGTGTCCTCCCTCACTCCTCTAGTGTGAAACCAACAGTGAAGAAAAGGAAGAGACGAGCAAAGCCGACAGCGATGAGGAGAAGGAGCAGGGGGCTGTGGGAGGACAGCCATTCTTCCAGGCACTGCAAAGAGAGTCTGTCATTTTTTTCTCAACTGGCAAAAAGCTGTTCAGAGCCCCACGTTTTGAGAAACCGGAGAGCTCCGCCCATCACGAGCATCATGGCCCCGTAGATGAAGAGACATCATCCGTGTCAGAACCAACCTGTCGGATCAAACCTTCTGTTCAAAGTCTGCACAGAGGTATTACTGATTATTAGTGTTGCACGTATGAACAATTGTGAAGTGTGACTTTTTCTATTACAGACCTCATTGTTCACAAGACTTGTGCTCTGAATCCTGCAGTGGCGATGCTGCGTAAGCACCTTTCTTCTCTGGAGGAGCTACGTATGGACGAGGAGGTGGCCACCTACACCTCAGTGTCTGCCCTGGCTGCTCCCAGGTTTCTCCCCCCTTCTGCCCCGCTGTGGAAACCCCCTGGCCTCCATTCTGCACATGGAAGAGTCCTGTGTGAGTACACCACACCACAGACAGTGTACATGTACAGAAAAGCAGTATTAATGGTGCTCTGTGTATGTTAAATAACTGCCAGAATATTTTTTTAAAGTCAATAAAGTATATGAAAGGATGGAGTGTGGTTAACGCTTGGTTGAGCGCTCGCCCCTGTACAAGGCTGAGTCCTTACTAAAGCGGGCCGAGTTTGAGTCCAGCCTGCGACTTTTCGCTGTGTGACGCCCCTATCTCTGGACAACAGTAGGAAACAGGGAGCTGTTTCCTACTGTTCTCCACTGTCCTGTCTCTTTTAAAATAAAGGCAAAAATGCCCCAAAATATATTTTAAAGAAAAAGAAAAAAGTATACGAAAGGACACATGACCAGCATAAGTTAAATTTTCTGACCAACTGACAAAATAATACATGTCAATGCGATATAACAATGTTATTAAACAGCATATATGTTATAAAAAACAATACCAAACGAAATACAAAACAATGAACAAAACTACGATTCTACAGCCATGATGTAGGCTATGTATAAATAAAACTGACTTGACAATGTAACGTAGGACTTGGGCACATGCTGCAGCATTTGAACTAAATGCTAACATCAGCATGCTCACAGTGACAATGCTAACATGCTGATGTTTATCAGATATAAAGTTTACCATGTTCCCTATCCCAGTTAAGCATGTTAGCATGCTAACATTTTGTAATTGGCACTAAACACAAAGCACAGCGGAGGCTGATGGGAAGTATTGGAGAAATTTTGACCTGATGTCAAATTCCAAACTACCTTACTATCTTAGTTATACTGAATCAGCAGGGTCTCTCCCAGGCAGAAAATTCAAGACAGACAGGTTTCCAGATGTGCTGTCCAAGCTGTTTTGAAGAAGTACAAAGAATGGGCAACGTGAGGACCATAGAGGTGTCACAGTGGTCGGCCAAGGAAACTTACTGAAGCAGATGAAAGACGCATCATGCTTACTTCCCTTTGCGATTGGGAGACGTTCAGCAGTGCCATCAGCTCCGAGCTGCTGTAAATGGTTAGAACCTGGTATACCTATCTACTGTCCAGAAAAGTCCAGTCAGAAGTGGTCTTCTTGCGGCCAAAAAGCAAAACCTCCGACATGGAAACGAGGGAAAGCAACTCTACGCATGAAAACACAGGACCTGCGGAGCAGAAAAATGGTAGCAGGTGCTCAGGACTGATAACTCAAAAATTTTAATATTTGGCTGCAGCAGAAGGCAGTTTGTTCGTTGAAGGGCTGGAGAGCAGTACAAGAATGAGTGTCTGCAGGCAACAGTGAAGCATGGTGGAGGTTCCTTGCAAGCTTGGGGCTGCTCTTCTACAAACGGAGTTGGGGATTTGGTTAGAATTAATTGTCTCTTCAATGCTGAGAAGTACAGGCAGACACTTATTCATCATGCAATACCATCAGGGAGGCATCTGATAGTGTCGCTAGAAGAATTGATGGTTTTGTTTTTTTTTTAAGGCAAAGGGTGGTCACACCAAATTTGATTTAGATTTTTCTTCTGTTCACTCACTTTGCATTTGAATTAATTAATTAAATATTAACATGTCTATTTTTGAAATCATTCTTACGTTACAGCATTGTTCTTTAATAAATCAGTCATGGTACTTGGATGGTAGTTGTTGAGATAACTTGCTCCTAAAATGTTGAATGGACAGACTTTCTGACTGGCATTGCCATTCCTTCAACTACCGAAGGAACGAACAAACAAACAGATGTGGTGGTGATGAATAACGGCCTGCATTATCACAGCACTGCAGGTGTTGAACAAAAATCATGATAAATTGTTTAAAGGAATACTTTTTTTGGTAATGCACATATTCTCAACTACTAATTGTTTTTACACTTCTTTAGTACAGATTAGTGAGTTTTAGTGTTTCTTTTGTTTTTACTTTGGCTTCTGGACCAATCTACATATTTACTGTAGAGACAAGTGAATGGTATCAATCTCCTAATCTAACTCCCAGCAAGAAAGCAAATAAGCTTATTCCTTTATAAAATGAACCAGTCTTTTCATTCACAACACAGGTTATATTTAGTTATTACATTTAGTTTGACAGTGACGTCCAACACCGCACATAGCGCTTTAAAACTGAAAAATCATGGAATATTTTCTGTCACACATATGAAAGCTAATATAAATATTTATCTTTTTTTTGTTTTTCCAGAGATTTGTTCCAATTGGCTGCGAGCTCTCATCTGGCCACAGCTCTCCACTGCAGGAGAGATAACCTGCACTACAAGTACAGTATTTGTTTTCCTGTGGATAAGCTTGCTCTGGTGTACTGATGAGACTTTTTGTAATGGAACTGATGTTTGTCCCACTGTTGTTGCTGACCTTACAAGTCCAAAGAATGCTGCTAGTATAGTTTCTTTTAGAAACCCATCAATCCCCATGGTCTCATTATTTATGACTACTGTCTGTAGATGCTTTCTAAAGAAAATGGAGGTTATTTGAGTTAAGTAATGCATCTTTTACACTGCACACACTCATGTTTGTGGTTTGTCGTCAATGTAGATGTACGCCTATTAGAAACAATGTTTATGACGAGAATAAAAAGCTAAATGTTGGAAAAATAAATGTTTTATAAAGTCAATGCAGACTCTGGCTGTGATCAGTGTTATAGCTATAGTATACTTATAGATTAGGGCGGCTCGAAGCAATGTTATTTTCATTTTATTTTTAACACATCAGATTCTTCCTGTGTAGATTGATTAATGTTGTTGATGTACAGTGTTTATAATAAATTTATATATGTTACTGTCATACTTTCTGTCAGCTCTTGAAATTATTTAACAGGCATCCCACTGGATTAACACATGCAGTAATGAGGAGCACTAATCACCCTGTGAAAACGGTTTTATAACGTCTTTCAAAAGTCTGAGGAAAGTCTATGAGCTTCACCCATACTAATGACCAACAGTCAGGTTGAAAGAATTCATCAGTTAGTCGATGGACTTAAACATCAGGATTTGCTGCTCTTCTCTTTTATATTATAGTAAATTTATTTTTTTTCACTTTATTTTAGTCTTATGCAATGTTGTCGACACTCACACAAACTCCTCAGCATTAAGATGTGGAAATGATCATCTTTATTGCGTGAAACAAGAAATGCCGTATTGTCTTGCATTCCCTAGATTGCCTCTGGGCCAGATGTAGAGTTCTAGCCTTTTTCTGGAAGGATGCACATGTCAGTCTCATGTTAACTCGTGCAACACAGTGTCCCGTTTTAGAGAGGACAGTATTGGTACTACATACAGCACAGAACGTGTGAAATACACCCTGTTGCTGAATTAGCTCGACTCTGAAAAATTCAAATTTAATTAAGTTTAAGATTTTTATTAATTGACAAACTGAGTTCAGGAGTCTTCATTCTTTTGTTCAGGAAGTGACAAGATTTAACAAAGTGACAATTTTCATTATTTTGTTGCTTTGTATGTATTCATTGGAAATAACTCATATGATATGCGTTCAAACTGTCACATGAGTGTTATGTGCATTGTTTCCCGTGTGTGAATGTCCCCTGCAGGTGGCTGCTGGGCCTGGTGTATATTTAGTGGAGTTGTGTGAGTGAGTGATGGGTGTCAGTGGGAGGGGGCTTGGGCAGGATTACAAACAGTAGCCTATAAAGCCTGTGGCCTTTACTTGTGCCTCCCATTAATTGCAGAGAGTGAAGGAAGAGCAGCTGCGCTCTGTTCTTTCTCCTTTTCTTTTCCCTTCGTCGTGCCCACCAGTTCCTCTAGAAACATGTCCAAGGATCTCCAACCGACCACTGACCCCACAAAGATGGGGCTTGGACGCTCCATTGCCGTGCTGACGTCCGGAGGGGACGCCCAAGGTAAGCAGAGGATGAGGCTCTGCTATTTTATCACGACTTTATTTTGAACTGTTGCGACACAAAGTGAGTCACTACAGAGAGGGTAAAAGCTGTTGGACAGCATCTTCCCTGCTGATGTTTCTGAGCGCTGAATCCCAACCAGCTGTAGAAGTCCTGGCTCCTTGTTACAGAGGCCAATAAAGTATCATGTTAATGCTCTGACTGCATGACACCCTAAGTATGTTCAGGAGCCAAAGACAGAAAGGACAAGCAGCATTTTTTCCAAGATTTCAGAGTGGCACAGTTGAAGGCCAGCTGTCAGAGGCTGATGGCTGTTTGGCTGCATGATAAGAAGAGTACGTCTTGGATTCACAACACCACCAGTGTTTGATGTATGTCCAGCAAGGCTTCAGATGTCCTTACAAATAACAGAAAAATCTCAAACTCTCACAGTTGGTCAAAATAGTGTAGCAGATTAAGATGATAAACTTTACAAATCATTCCGAGAGTTGGTTAAGATGTCATCCTTTGTTAAACCTACAAATTGGCATTAAGCTCCTGTACACAACTTCTCCATCAACTGTATTTGAAGTCCAGCTGGATGATGTCTCATATTCATCTCATATTCCTATGTGATCCTGCTCTCCAAACCTGACTCTAACCCTTTGTGTAGAGGCTTTATCCGCCCAAGTGGCATCTTATTTTGCTTCTTTGGGGCTAATTTTAGTGGCGCTGACCTTTTTCTGGTATGGAGGAGAGAAATGTCCCCCCTCCACAGCTGCTGTCTGGTGAAACAAGAGCTGCAACGTGCCAGTCTGCTACAACAGAAGCTCACACTGTGGCCTTTAGTGTACCGGACATCCAGGAACCAGTTTGTACAAGAAAGTTTTGTCCTTTCCCTGTCCTTTGGCTATTTTAGTCTCATCTGTTGCGAATGTACAGTGCAGGTCACATCACTTAAAGGTTAAGATGGGTCTAGATGTCTTAAGCAGGCAGTGATAAATAGAACCTGAGTATATTGGACCTAAAACAGGTGTCTGAAACTTGATGCCTATAGTGCATGAGGAGCATGGAAACGCCCACTGTATGTAGAAAATTACAGGAAAAAGATAACTCTCACTGGAAAATGGCGGCCTGTCTGATCAGGGCCTCAGTCATCACAAATCATGTCATTTGTGTGTCTCAGGTATGAACGCTGCTGTGAGAGCCACAGTCAGAGTCGGCCTCTACACCGGAGCCAAAGTCTTCTTTGTGCATGAGGTACCATAGAGGCTACAGTACATTGACAAGTAATAATTATTGAAATTAAATACATCACTGAGACTCCTAATCTTAGGAGAGACTTGTACATTATGACATATGAAAGACAGAAAATAGTATTTTGTCGCATTGCAGGGTTAAACCAGCACAATAGGCATATCTGTGTCTGACTGGGTCTTTACCATTACCACCATGTTAACGTGTGCTGCAGGGCTACCAGGGTCTCGTGGATGGAGGAGACCACATTCGCCCCGCCACATGGGAGAGCGTGTCCATGATGCTTCAGCTGGTGAGTGATTTGCAGCCGAGTAGACGCACACAGAAACACAGACTGAAACAATACAAACCACCCACAAGAGCCAAACACTGTTTTTGTAGTAGAAACTAAAATATGCATAAATGTTCAAGTGTGAAAGACTTGTGGTGTTTAATTATGTTACTAAGGGTTCAGTTTTATTGTTGTTTTTTAATTCACATACCTTTACTAGTTTGTAGCCCTGCAAATAGTTTTGGTATATTATTTTTTTGTTTATTTCTTCACTGAGGAATACAGGTTTAACAGACATCATTGAGATCCGACAACATTACCACATTCCTTGACATACTTTTACTGTAACTAAATGTACTAAAGTATTACAAAGGGAAATTCAGAAGCATAATTCCCACACTGCACGTAGGCTATTTTCACTCTCCCCAGTCCCTTCCCTCCACCCAAGTGGGTTTAAGTGAAAAAGTGAATAAAAGGTTGCCATTTAATTCCCAAAGAATTTCTCAGCCTGTCCTTTGTCCAGGTTTTGAGAGATCCACACCTTGAGATGTCTGCTTGTTTATAGTGCTCACAGCTCTAAATATACAGTTAAAAAGTTCAGTAGCAAAAATTTTTCTTTCAATAAAATGTATACTAATAAAAAAAAAACTGAACACACAACTAACAGGGACTGATACTGCTGACATTGACCCTGACAGACATTTGTCGGTCGCAATGCATTGGCCATTTTAAATACATATTGCCATGTAATGCACAAGCCCTACAGTGTCACTTGTACTGTTTTGAGACTTGCGTTTTACATTTTCGACTGAGACTATATTCTACCTTTTCACAAGACGGAAAAACAGTAACAGTGACATTTTGTAGTAGAAGTACAGACTCACAGAACACGTTGATATGGAAACACACACTGTTGTTTTCACACTTTTGAATTCTACTCCACTGTATCTGGGCAGCAGAAGCAGGTGGATATCTAAAAAAATTAATAAATTAATTTTGTTGTTATTTTGGGTGAACTGGTCCTTTAACCTTTAACACACCTACTTGACTTGGAGTCAAGAACTTTCTCCGGCGTCTCACAAGCTCTGAGCTCATGAGAAACTGATTTCTGAGTGACTATGTTAAATGGCTACCTCGGTCCTGTGACTGAAGATGCAATAATACTGCCACGCTCGTAATTCACATTTATTTCTGTCACCTCTGTTGTCTAAATAAAGAGGCCTAGCAGTGGGAAGGAATCACATGCTAAGATTCATGAAGTGTGTGAAATTGAGCACTGGAGTGGGAACGGGCCATGGCAAATTTCTAGGGTATCACTTCTAAAGTGCTGACCGCATTTACTGAAAGCACGATGCACTTTCACTTGATGTGACTTCAAGGCATCTAAATGAGTCTAATACCACAGTGTCATAAAGCTGCCCTGATCCACATCCCTCTAGATTAATATTTAAGGGCTAATATTAATAACTGTTGTGGAAAACATTGCAGAGTTAAATGTCAGTAATCACTGCATTATTACATATTACAAAAACAGCTTCTCCTCTTTACCTGTTAGGGAGGTACGGTCATAGGCAGTGCCCGCTGCAAGGACTTCCGCAGCAGAGAGGGTCGTATGATGGCAGCTCGCAACCTAGAAGGGGGCATCACCAACCTGTGTGTGATCGGAGGCGATGGCGTCTGACTGGAGCCAACCAGTTCAGGACTGAGTGGAGCGGACTGCTGGTTGACCTTGTCCGAGCTGGTAAACGAGACAAACGTAGTGGCTGTGAGATACAGTAAATAATGAAGCCTGAGTGCAATCTGTCAAATCCTTCAGCCTTATCCCTCAGCTGTGGAGTCTCAGTCTGTACTACCTCTTCAGAGCTTCTGTCCGAATCCATCACTAAAAGATGGGATGGAAGATATCACATGTCTAAACGGCTGGCAACAAGTGAGTACACCCTAAGTGAAAATGTCCAATTGGCCCTGCCAGCATTGCTGCAGAGGTGAAGGGGTGGGGGGTCAGCCGGTCAGTGTCAGACCAAACGCCGCATGCTGCATCAAACTGGTCTACATGGTGTGTCCAGAAGGAAGCCTCCTCTAAAGAGATGCACAGAAAGCCCGCAAACCAGTTTGCTGAAGAAAGCAGACTAAGGACATGGATTACTGGAACCATGCTGTGGTCTGATGACACCAAGATAAACTTATTTGGTTCAGATGGGTCAAGTGCGTGTGGCAACCAGGTGAGGAGTACAAAGACAAGTGGTCTTGCCTACAGTCTAGCATGGTGGTGGGAGTGTCATGGTCGGGGCTGCATGAGGATGGTGGGGCGGGGGAGCTATATTTCATTGAGGGAACCATGAATGCCAATATGTACTGTGACATATTGATGCAGAAC